CAGAATACGAGACACGTAACATCGATATTGACGCGGTTTCAACGGTAATTCAAATACGGTAGGACCTCCATTAACCGGGTCGCGATTACTCGCGGTTTCGATTATTGCTGGTCGCCAGTTCAATAACAAAGATTTAACTATGATCATTTATTTCGAATCGCTTCCATTTATCGACCAAGTACGTTCGCGATAATGTTTCCTTGCGCTACTTCGTTGCGTCTCGACGCGACAGCGATAATCCTTGTTAACGAAAAATTCCAAGTAGATTTCTCCAAGCATAATTATGTACGAGTTCGTTTCTCGATCAGGGCCGTTAATCGAGATTCGAATCGAGAGGGAAAAACGAATGAGAAAACTATTCGGAGGAATTACGAGGGAGAAAATATAGATAAGATTATTTTCGCACGCGTTCCATTAAATCGTACAATGTCTCGCGAGCGAATCAACCGCTGCGCTAGTGTTTACGAATATGTGCGAGCAAAAGCGGACGGATAACGCGAGCACGAATGTAAGGAGCTTGGTGTAAATCGTAAACGAGAACGAACGACGAAAACGTCTCGACACGGACACGTAACTTTGACGCGCCGCGTTTCAACGAGGCTGAAACGCCGGAAGAAAGTCAGGGGAACTAGGGGCAATCGAGATAAATCGATCGAGCATCGATTTCCCATTCTCTCGTAAGAGAGCGACCATTTAAACCGCTCGTTAACGACGCTTGGAGGTCGACAACGATGCCGCCCCACCGACGACGACCGCTAATTACTCTCCACGAGGATCGTTTGGGTTCACTCACCGCTCTCTCTCTCTCTCTCTCTCTCTTTCTCCCTCCCCCTCCCCTCCCTCTTACTAACCCTCTCCGTTGGTTATAAACCGACAATAGACGATCCTATCGCGACTATACGCGTAACCGCGCGCATACCGACGCGTACGCGTACAAGTGTATTTTGCGTGCGCGTGTTTATCGTTTCCGGACGAAACGTTCTCGTTTAATGTCGGTCAAGACGAGGTAAATTAATCGAAATCGTATCTCTGCCGCTTCATAGGACAAACGCGTCGAGCAAATGGATCTGTCGTATGTCGGAGTCGATTCCACGGAAGATCGTAATACGTCTTTTCCGATCGCGTAACGTCTGCCGTTCGTATCTCGAAACGACGTACGGCAAGGAAACGTCTTTTCCCAACCGCCGCGACGATCCGTTTCTTCGATCACGGAGTTTCCCTAACATCAAGGATATATACGTTTAGTTCGTTATTACATAAAGCGAAACGAAGTCGTCGTTTATCTTTCGGCTGCCGTTCTACGCGACAACGAAAACAGTGTACGCGCCTAAATTTGACAATACGGCAATAATCGATGATCGGCTACGAGCTACGAGATAATGTCGGTTCCGCAAATCGACCACTCGAAAAACGATTACGTTCGCGTTACGATTTACTCGATACGGAAACCTATCGCGATTTATTCCAGTTATTTTAAGCCGGCTCAGTGTCGAGCGATAAACAATGTAGCCAAGTAAGATAATTCTATATTCGTGCGTTCGTTCGATAGCCAACTAGTGGACGATTTTTGAAACGAAACCGATGCCCGTTGTCCGGTCGTAACGGTATATCTCTAACACTCCTGTTATCGGACGCGCGTTGCTCTCTTCTCAAAATGCACGCGAAACAACTTTTTCTGCGTTCTCGTAGTTCGACTCGAAGAAGGTAAAGTCCGCGCGATGGGTTTCGTTCGATCGAAGATGGTATCGACGAAATTTCGCATCGATTCGAAGTAGACGACATTAGAGGCCGAAAGCGTGATCGTGTCGCAAACGGAAGGCAAACACGATGCACGGATCGTATAGCGATACACGCTCAACCGGTAGCGATCAGAACGGAAGAACGTGTGCGCGACGCGTCGGCTTCGCGTTAGCTCGTTAGCTCGCGAGACTCTCGTAACGTTTTATACACGCATACGCGGTCGAATCGCGAGGACGCACACGCGCTACCGCCGGTGACTGGACTCGATTGGACTCGACTGGACTCGACTCGAGTTGAATCGACGCGAGCTAATGGCGAGTACGTACGTGCCCGACGTAAACTCGCACACCTATACCCGAGAAACAGATACATAGGTTGCGCGAATCGACGGAAGTACTCGCTCCTTACCATCGTGCGTGCGTATCGTCGACTAGAAGTACGCGCGCTGACCGTTTAAAACATCCAGCGTTTTTCGTAGCCAGTTTTTCTCCTTTCGACGCTATCCGTTTACCACTCGTACGGATTCATCGAGGGCAGCGTATTCCGCAAGGTAATCCAGTTCCAAGAAAGATGATCAATTTTCCGTCGACGTCGACCGTTTCGTGGCGCGTCGTAAATTCACCTCGCGACCCCGTTCCCACGCACGTATACACACGCGCACGGAACACGTTCACGAAACGAGTCGAATCACTCGACTAGATCTCGATACGTTTAAACGCACCAACACCGTACACACCGTACATCCTATACAAACTCGGTTCACTTCGAGTCGATTATCCGCGCAACGTTTACATTCCTTTTCCTTTTCCTCTTCCTTTTTCTTTTCCTAACAATTAACCAGCGTCGTTGATTGCCCAACTTCGCTCTCGCTCGCTCTTTTCGTCTCCGTCTCTTTCTCTCGTCGCACGCTTCTCCTCTTTCTTTTTCCCTCGATGCCGCGCTTTATCTTTCTTCGCGATCCTCTTTATCTTTCGACGCGGGTACACGGAAAACGAGAGAGAAAGAGAGGGGCGAAGGGAGGTGAGGGGTCTGCGGGGAAGGGGGAACACCAGTTATCGTCAATACGAATACGCGTAGTACTTTCTCGGAGTACGAGGCGTACGTTGGCCGAGTCCTCTCGACGGGAGAGAACGACAGTCGTTTCGAGGCTCGGCGAACTCGCGGAAACGAAAGAAATCCGCGAAATCGGTGTCGCTCGATCGACCGGCAATTCTCGCGACGATCGCGATACGTCCGGACGATGCTCTCCACGAGCGGTATACACGAAACGCAACCAACAGAACGCTAATACCGATACAGAAACACAGAAACGAGCATGCCCGTGCGCACTGATTCGTTTGTCGTTTGCTCGCGCGCTCACCCTGCTACACACGCGAAAGATACAGAGACAGAGGTATCGATAAAGATGGAAACGGATGGACGAAAAAAAAAATGAAACGAGATGAGGGGAATGGGTGGGGGCTAGGAGGCAGAAGCGAAAGAAAAAGAAGGAGAGAAAAAAGTTTACACGCAGCACACAGCGAGCGTCTCTATCTGGCAGTTACCGAGGACACGATTATATTGCGCGCACTCTCTCTTTCTTCGTTTTCACTCGATGGCTCCGTTTCGATCACCGTGTTCGTCGACATCCATCGGACTTGGACTGCTCGAAATCGGTGTTATTCGTTCGATCGCGCACTCGTACAAACTCACACGCGTCGAGCACCGACTCGCGTACGCGTCGACGGACGAAGCAGCTCCTTCTTCGTCGTCCCGTTCGGCGGACGCCGCGAGAAATACGCTCGCTTTCTTTCTCGAACGTCGACTTTTCCCCGCACTCGGTCACACCCGAACCTTATCGACGCGATCGCACGATTCTCCGCGAACGCATATTTCCTCGCTGTACTCGAAAAATCGCGGTTTTCTAGTCTGCGAAGAGTAAAGAAAAAACGCAGACACCGCACCTCCCTTGTCAGAAAGCACTCACGGCAGACCGCAACACATGGCTACGAGCCTCCACCGAGATCGGGCGTCCTCGACCGTGTTCGGTTAACTTCGGACAGGACCGTACCTATCGCTCCAGTTACCACTTTACGCGTTTCGAACGGACTAATCTTTCTCTGTCGTCCTCGGAAAAACGATATCGTCGTTCTTCGTTCCTTTCCATTTTCGTTTTCGATTACTATTCGTTCGATAAAACGAAGTATATTTTGCGAAAAAAAAACAACGAACCGTTCTATCCGTTCGTTTTACTTTCGTTCCAAATACTTCAACTTTTAAATGCTCGATTCGCAGTTTCGGTTAAACGTTAACTCGAGTAGCTACGAGGTTATACCGTTCGAATTTTATCGTTCGACCATTTTACGACGCGTATCACAGTTTAATCGCGTTCGCGAGCGTTATCGAATACAAAATATTCGAGTATACGAATTTCGAGATATCGATGCGCGGAATAACGCATGGAAAAAACGAAAAGAGTACGTTCTTCGAAACTATGCGGACATTTCGCGTTGCGAGAAGGGATTGGCATCGAAGCATGTTGAATGGGCTACGCGCATCGAGGAATGGATGAGAAGAAACGTGAACGATCGAATCGAGAAAAATGAAATGTCAGGTAGGGGCTCCTGTTTGTCGGTTTCCGGTGCTGGCCAACCGTTAGAAGCGGAGCGAGGGTTCTGCACAGGCGTCCTCCGTCGTCTTCCACCGAAGGCCGTGTGGTGTCACGGTGAGCGTGGCAAAACCCGGAAAGAAGAAAAGAAGCCGAAGGAGCTTGAAGAAGTACGAAGGAGCACGAACGAGCCCGAAGGAGCTAGGGGACTCTCCTTTTCCTTCTCCGCCACCTTTGTCACCACCTCCACCTTTTCGTTTTCCTCGCTAAAAGCAACCCTGCCTGTCGACGCTATATAGTACTTATATGTGTACGTAAGTACGCGTGTACAACGTCGAAACGAAACTTGCTTCTTTTTATCTTTTTATGTCTGTTACGTTCTGTCCTTTGTTCTGTTTCCTTATATATATTTTGCGGTTATCATTCGTTATGCCCGATCTCGGCTATCGTGCTTCACCGTCTAATTGTAAACGGTTCAACGCTTATCGTCGACGATTACTGGTTCGAGTTCGACGAATTAAACGACATCGACTAGTACGCGACAAAATGACCAATTACACGTTTCATCCTCGCTATGTATCTTTTTGTTTCAGGATTAACGTAACAGCACGGTGTTATAAGACTGACTGCTTTACATGCTACGAATATAAAGATCAATCTCGTATGTACGTACAAACGCTATTTCTGACATTTGACGATAGCCGATACGGAACATTTTTGTTTTCCTCCGTCACTCGATTGCTCCGGCTTTTTCTTTCTTATTATCTTTCCTCCTCGTAACGTCCCCACCCTGATTCGATGCTACTTCGCTTTTTCTGCCCCTCTTGCCCCTCTACAATCACGATTGCTTCTGCTCGCTCGTGTGCACAGTGCTCTCTCGCTCGCTCGTTCGTTCGTTCGGCTCCTCTCGAGTGCCGTCTCTCCTCGACGATTCTTAGTTCCCATAATGAACCGTACGACGTGGTTCGTGGTTAAGAGCAAACGGACGTACCAGTTTTCCCCTCTCATTAACGATGGTTTTCGAGGAACTTGACCTTTTAAAGTTTAAAGACTCGAAACAAAACCGTCGCTAAAATTTACTTTGTAACGTTATTTCACCGGCAATTTTACGTATTTTTCGCGACAATTCCTAACCTGTTTCCGACGTTACGGTGTCTCTCGGGAAGCGAGAAGCGCTCAACTACACCGATATCGTTTACATACACAATAGCGATATCAAAGTTTATGAACAAACGCGTCTAATCGATATTTTCTCTCTACGCGATCATGTACAGAGATCTCTTTTTCAGATTTTTAAAAGTTCTTGCATAACGGTGAGCTAACGATGCAACCAAACGATTGCTCGCGTTCAAGTATTTTCTGTCGAAACCAGTATCGACGAAACATCTTCCTGTTATCGTCGATGCGCGTTCGATTCCAGTCGATCCAAATCGGATCGAATTTTTTCTCTCGTCATCCTTCATCCCCCCTGTTGATCGTCGTGTTTTTTTCACCGTGGCCAACTGCGAACTCGTAACGCGTCACAGTCAATCGCGCGAATAAAGCAACCGAAGCGACGCAACTACCGTTTCGATCGCGAAACGTAACCGAGCGATCATTTTCTTCTTTCATTTTTTCCATTATATTTCCATTCGTCGTAACTTGCCTTTTCGATTTCGCGAGATACAAAAGGAAAAGCGTCGTTCGGCCTTGCCAATCGATTACGGTGGCTGCAGAAATTTTCGATCGAATCAAAAGACTCTCGGATACCGGATAGAGATTACGCATGGCATCGAAAACGTTTCGAAATTTCGTTGGTCGAATAGGAAACTCGACAGGTTCGAATTTTGTTGCTCGTTTTCGTGCAACAAAGGTTAAAAGTAAAAAAGAGAAGAGGGAATTAAGAAGAAACAAGTAGAACGTAGGTTCCAAGGTTGATATGTCCGAGGCACGAGCGAAAAGCAACGTTGTCAACGAATCGATATCCGGATGGGCGTGGCCTCGTCGATCCTCGCGGATGCTATAACGTGGAATCTCTCGATGCAGATGTTCTCGCTCGAAAAATTTAGTCTTTTCGAAACTAGATTCGAACCGGCTCCGAGTCGACTCGGCCGTTTCGCGATCGACTCTCGTCGCGTCGTTGCGCGTTCCTGAACGGGAAATTTATTTTACCCTTGTCCGGCCGGTTTCCTTGCTTTTTTCACGCGTTCCCAAAGGGACTAGCCCGGTCCATTATCAGCGAAACGTTTCAATTTCGAAATCCAACCGCGTGGTCGGTCCAGCTTCCATCGCGTTCTTTACTCTCGTTTGTCTCGAACAAATGCCCCGTTATTTCTCTCGGGCTACGAATCGTTACCGCGTTTATCTTTCTCCGACTCGCGTTTTCTTCATTCTCCGTGTTCGCTAATTGTTTTCTCACGTTTCCGGAAAGAAATTCTCGTTCGTTACCTTCCACCGTTGTTCTTTATTTCGTTTTGTTCACCGGTCGTTACGTGTATGTACTTTATCCGCTATTCGACGATATTAATGGGAAGCAAAGAAATTTGCGTGGAAAGTCGATTTGCAAAAAAGATACGCGTGTAAAAAAGCTTTTCACCGTTTTATTAAAAGAGAAAAAAAAGTCACGATGAAACAATACGGAAAAATGTACGATTTGGTAAAGAGATTTTGAAAGGGAATAAAAAAACGAACAAAGGTGTATAAAAGGGTAAAAGAGATTCGAGGAAAAAATCTGGTCACGCTTGAGCGGCAGTGGGACGTTGGAGAAAGCGTCGCTGAAACGTCGGAAGGACATTCGAAAGGGGCTAAAAGTCCACCCGGAGGAGAGAAGAAAAGTGGAAGGGAGGAGGGTAGTTGAAGGAAGGTCGTAGAGACGAGAGGAGAGCAGTTGGTTAGGGTATGGGGCACAGTATTGCGAGGAGAAGAGTATTCGCAGCATGTGGTCTCGTCAACCCCCTTACTCGCCTCTTTTCATTCGGTTCCCCCTCTAGTGTCGTCCCTATCTTTCATCTACTACCTCAGCGCGCCGATTTCGTATTTTCATTCTCGTCGCTCGACTCGAATTTCCCCCCGGGCTCGAACTTGCTCCCTACCTCTTCATCGTAAACGCTAATTGCTCCATACAAATGTCCAAAATCTACTTAACGTCTTCCTTTAACGCGATACGATGTACTTCCCTATCTCTGTCCCTTCCGTTCCCCTTTCCTTTATTGTCTCCGTTCTTTTTCTAGAAATGTGATCGCAAGTTTTCAAATAACTCGCACTGCGTTTACCTTTTTACCTCCAAGAATCTTCGACCTGTGATTAATCGCGACGCTAAATATTTGTGTCGAAATTTAAAAAGAAAATCTGGCACGTTATCGTGTTGGTTTAGAAAAGGTAACGGGAATCGTTATAATAGCCATTCAAGAAGAATAAAAGGAAAACAATCGAATCGAATCGTATTTGTAATGGAGTATTTCGACGATTAAAATTCATCCGACAGAAACGATGTACAAGTCGATTTCTGAATCATAATTGAATCGAACGTTGAAATTTGTTCGATTGTATATGGCGCGTGCGAGCTCGCGTGTCCGTTACGCACGCGTTCGAATACGGAGCGGAGACTATCGTCGTTCCATTGTCGTAATTAGCCGGTGCGCGTTCGCGACGATAGAGAGGGACAACGAGTATCGGATTGAATAATGGAATGGAAAAACACGATGCATCGATCGAAATCGTGAACGCGACAGGTACCAAGATCGGTAGTTACGTTACTGAACCACTACCCTCTAGCGGTTTGGTAAGTTGCTAGGATACACCCCACGCTCGAATCCCCCACGATTCGGCTATCGATGCCCTTCTACTTATCTACCACCGTGTTGTTTTCGAGAAGAACAGCAACCAGCACGAAACACGTACAAGCACACGGGGACAGAAAGAAACTCTTTTAGTGGTCTTTGCATTTTTTACTCGGGACAGAATAAACCTATTCGACAATGTAAACTAATCCGAGAATAAATTAAGCTTTTTTTTGTTTCGTACTCCGATTGTCTAGTATCTTGCTACGTTTCAGATGACTCGACGCGAATAAGAATGCTGCGAATTACCAATCAACTAATTTATACTGTTATTCGAAAGACGACACGACCGTTATTCAAGGATATCGCAACGATTCGACACCTCGTTCGAACGACTCTATCGATATAAAATATGCCTCGAATCCATTGTGTACAACGGAAATCGACGAAACAACAGGTTTCCGCGTAGAAAGTACAAGACTATAGATATTAAAATTGTATCGAGAATCCGTGATCGGCGTTGCCCAACGACGTTGAAAATATTTTCTCTCTTTCGGCGAACAAATAATAAGTATTATTCTCGTTCGAACGTAAATGGCGCGCCGTGTGTTGACGAGTTAAATTGCTCATTGACGGTTTATTGGTTTTCGTTCAATTAGAAAAATATGGAATCAAAACATTCGGGGAATTTGATTTGCGAATCTAAATATGCGAAGTAAAGTACAGAGCATAGTATTTACGAGTTAGTCGTGCTATCCGTTTCATTCAAACCAAATAACTCGTCGCCGAGAGTGAGCTCGTAATTGCTTTTACGCGAATGCAATTACGGAAGCTTAACGATGACGCGACGCGCTTAATTGCGTTTACGTTCGACCAGAATATCTGTGTAGTCGAAGGAGCAACGTACACAGGTATTCAAACTTTCGTACGTTACGTATCTTTTGTGAAACCTTTCTTACACGTCTAGCTACCAGTAGAAATTATTTTATATGCATACGCACACATACATATACATACGCACACATTCTGCGCGTTTTTACTTTAATTCTCTGAAAGCGTTTTTGTGTCGTACAAATACCTACGTATCGTTGAATTCGTTTACCGCTATTCGTCCAGAGCAAGGAACGCGACAAACGCAAAAATAATGGATTCTTACCGTTTCCTTCCAAACATCGGAAGTTCTATCAAACTTGTCGGTGGTGACATCTTTCGTACTTTGTAGGAACTTTACTCTTTGATATGTACCGGTTTACTCAGCAACCGGTACTAACCTTCGACAAAACACAAAGAACACTTAATTACGCACTAAAATAAATTGTTTCACGCTCGCACTGTTAGGAGGGTATGGCGGCACAACGAAAAATCACTAAAAATTAACGACGATGCACAGTTTGAGTAGAATTTCTCACAAATACACGCTCAAAATGACAACTCGCGAACCAATAGTCTCAACTTGTGCGTTTACAGAACTGCTGTAAACACCTCGTAATCAAACGAACAACTTTCAGCGTGAAAACCGTTTTCGCTTTGTCGTCGCTCCAACGAACGAATTCGACGTCGAAAACGTAACCGTTAATCGTGTAACTGCGCGCTCTATTTTCTGCTGCTCGTGTACTCGACGAAAATTTGATGCATCGTTGCATCGTGCATTGAAATTGACTAGAGTACGCGAAATCCGGCAATCACGGTTCGAAGCGCCATCACTGTCATGGCCTTTTCCTGTTCACGCTTACTCCAAGGAGGACGTGAACGTAAGTTGTATGGTAAGGAACTCGCAGTTTCGATGTATTTACCTGTCGGTCGTGTATGAAAAAGTGCTATTGACTCGCTGGAAATATACGAAGCTAGTCGGTGATTATAAATATACGATACGTCCTAAAATTAATGAATCGAAAGTGCTCCATGCGACCACATGGTCACATGCTTTCGTCGTTTTCGTACGAGTTTTACATCGACGAAGTGTAGTGATTTCTGATCGATTTTTTCGTTCGAAATAAAAGTAGTTGATTGAACAGGGTGTCCCATATTTCGCCGAAATGATTCCATGCATGATACGCGCGAAAAAAAAACAGTGTTCCGATTAAACAACATTTACGCCTATACCTTTTGTCGTCCATGCAACGTATTTGTTGACATTCAAACGCGTCCCATTATTTTCTCAGGCACAATACTATCGATCATTTTAATTTTGCAACAAAGCATCTCTTCTTATTTTTCGTCGCGATAAAAAATTTCACGCGCGTAATTTAACTTTTAAATTTACATCGATTCTACTTGTTCGTTGCGTATAAGATAGATCGTATTAAGTCGATGAAAAACACCGTTAAAACTAATCTACGACTTTCGTTTTACAGATAAATAAAACCATGGGTGACATAGAAACGTTCGACGATATAGTGGTACCCACTGCCACTACCTTACCAGTCACGCTTTCGGCGGAATTACCAGAAATTAAATTGTTCGGCCGTTGGAACTGCGACGATGTGCAGGTCAACGATATGTCCCTACAAGATTACATAGCTGTCAAAGAAAAAAATGCAAAGTATCTACCACACTCCGCCGGACGTTATGCTGCAAAACGATTTCGTAAAGCCCAGTGTCCCATCGTGGAACGTCTTACGAATTCGTTAATGATGCACGGAAGAAATAATGGGAAGAAATTAATGGCAGTTAGGATCGTGAAACATGCCTTTGAAATAATTCACCTTCTCACGGGAGATAACCCTCTACAGGTAATATTCCATAGAATTTTCTGCATACGTTTGTTGCAACTCGTACGATTCTAATACGTTCGCGTTTTCTATGAAAGGTGCTCGTGACGGCCATCATCAACTCAGGACCAAGAGAAGATTCTACTCGTATCGGTCGCGCTGGTACTGTCAGAAGACAAGCAGTAGACGTTTCTCCGTTACGACGCGTAAATCAAGCAATCTGGTTATTATGCACCGGTGCTAGGGAAGCCGCATTCCGTAACATTAAGACGATTGCCGAATGCTTGGCCGACGAACTCATCAACGCTGCCAAAGGTTCGTCGAATTCGTATGCGATCAAAAAGAAGGACGAACTCGAACGCGTCGCTAAATCTAACCGATAAACATGTTCATTTGACCACAGACGAATAAATACTTTATCTTTAAGATGGTCTTCTTATTACGTTGTTTTCTTTTTGTTCCTTTCAAAGTTTATTTCACGCATTGAACACGCGTTGGTCGATAACGTTTTCGCGCGTTACTTTCAAATATTCGTAGGTTAGTATCGCAACAAGTATTTTGGGGGATTTCGAATGGTATCGACATACGTGTCGCACGACTACGGTAGGCAGCGCCTTTATTTCGGTAATGTTGGGCACTGCAACGCAGTGTTACCACTACATATATCTGACCTCGGGTCAAGTCAGGTTAGGTGCAAGATCAGCTTGGAAGTTGGGGCACAGAATTTATTTTGAAGAAATATTGTCAGTCGCTAATATCAAACATGGCAGGTGCGCTGAAAAAGGTAACGATGTAAAAGGGTCTGATACAGTTTGATAAATATGTCGATAGCGAACAATAACGTTTAATCGACTCGAAAATTGTTATGTTCCGAACATAACCACACTTTTCAAAATTTTTTATATTTTTAGGTTTTGCGTCTGATTCTTTCGTTTTATCGATGACTTTTTTGTTCTATAGACAACGGGATTAACTGGTCTCGCAGTGGTAAAGTTGGCTCATCGCGAATTGGATGTAGCGTATGATAAACTTCTACGCATTTTGAATAACATGCCACAAGATTACGCTTACAGAACGCATACGGAGAAATTGGTGAAGGAAAGACAAAACATCGTACAGCAGGTAAGTTACGATCTTTTTGACGCGCCCGAAAGATATGGTAAACGAGTTTTTAATAACTTTACGATTAACCTCGTGTCGCAGAATCCAACGGTCGAAGCCGTAGAAGAAAAGATAGGCTGTGGTCAAATCGAAGAGCTAATAATTCAAGCGAACAACGAGATATCTTTGGCTAAGGATATGTTAAAATGGAAACCGTGGGAAAACTTGGTGGAAGAACCTCCGGCGCATCAGTGGACTTGGCCTCCGCATAAATAAATCTAATCATTTGGCCGACATTTGTACATAGTGCTCAACTTTCGTCGTCTTATGCAGTAATATAGATATTAAATCGCGCATTATAATTATCATGGTATTTATTCGTTATTTATAATTGTACGAAAACTTTTTTGATAGTACAATCCCGTGAAATGAAAAGTACCGCTGAATGTATCGTTCTTCCTTTCTTCGCTGTGGAACACGATACCGTCGTCTCCGCTATAGTAATCGTCGCTAACACGGACAAGTGCCAACTTCCTATAGCGCGATAAAACTTCCTTTGGAATTGCACCATCGAGAGAATCAGTTTGTATAAATTATGCGTAATCGGCATGCGTGTAGGTGTCAATTATTTCACACGACCGATAGGCTGGGAGTCAAAAATTGGTGTCCCAAATCGAATGGTTGCAGGGAGCGGAGTATTGTTTGGGACATTTTGCAAACGAAACACGTCGCCGCGTTCGATGTCAAATACATTTGATCCGAGCGAGAAATCATAGTCGAGGAGTAGAAATTGCGGTAAAAGGAATGCGGAGAGTAAAGAGTTTGAACATAGAGAAAGAGGAAAAGAGAGAGCGAGAGAGTGAAAAGAGAGAGGGGGAGGGAAAACGTTACGCGTTACTCGGTAGTGGGGAAACGAGGAAGGAATAGGTAGGTTGGAGGTAGGAGAACGGTTTTAACCAAGTATTCAGGGGAGGGGATTCGAGAGAGCCGCTGTTCAGTTCCGATTTTGCGTCGCGCGCGACGATAGCGAACACCAGACACGCGAATCGCACTTCGTTTCAAGACGTTTCATTGTCGATACATTGTTCGGTATCGCGTTTTCGAGCTTCGTTTTCTTTCTCTTCTTCCTCTTGATCCTTTTCAGCTGTCCCTTTTTTCGCAACAATTTCTCTTTTCAATTTCACCGCTATACCATGCTTCTCCAGACCTCTCAGTTTTCTACGTCCATCTTTTTCATGTAGCAAACGAAGGATCGAAAATCCGAAGTAAAATATCGCGTCCGTGACACGAGTGCGAACGCGAGAAAGATACGCGAAAGTCGCGAGTTCGAAAGTTGAAAATTCGGCCGCGGAATGCGCGTGTGGTTCGGTGCAACGAAAAGTTGATCACGGTCACGATCGCGAACGACGCTTCGCGGATGATCGGTGACAGTGAAATACAGGATCGTAGGTCATTTTTATCCACCTCGTCGACTCGAATGAAGAGGAGCGATTTGCTCGTTTGGGAATATCGTCCATAGGATATCGATCGGTCGATCGATCGATGGATCGACTAATTTGGCGATAAACGAAGAGAAGGAAAAGTCGGAGATCGGTGCGTAAAACGCGTTTCGCGATTCTTTCCGTACTCGAATCGAGTTGAAAACTCGTAGACTCGAGATCGAAGGATAACGCGAAAGGCTTCGATCGTATTGCAGCGCAGGGGAAACGTTCTTTCGCGCGGTGATTCGAACAGTCGTAGAATAAATTTTTCTGCGCAGCGATATCGGCCACCTAAAAATCGGACAGCGATCGTAAAGGGTATCTCGTCGTGTTCCAAACGAACACCGTAGATATATCGAGTTAAGAAGAAACAATAGCCGTGGAAGGAAACGCGTTCCCGTTCGAAGACAATGCGCGTAATTTCGTGGAACGCGACGAAACGAAAGCGGCTAGGATATTGCCCTCGCTCGAACGAAACTAGCGAAAACGCTCGCCGCGTTCGCTCGTAGCTTCGGCTCGGATCGACGAGATTTCCGTTTCACGCGAAAAGGTAGAAGGAAGATCGCGCGCGAACGAATCGGAAGAACGTTAACGCGGCGTGACGTTGGCCCGTTACGCGGTCCATGCTCCGCGCTTTGCGCTCCGTGCTTCAGCTACTGGCTGAATGCTCGTTCGCGAATCAACCGAACCGTTCGAGAGTCGACGAAGAATCGCGGAGACGCGAGATGTCCGTCGGAAAAGAAGGCGAGGCTCGTTTACCGGCAAGGCTGATCGTTATCGTTTTAACGCGTTTGCTTACGTAACGCGCGCGTAAACTCGTCCCTTTTTCTCGATTATCCGAACCGCATTCTTCTTGCTTGGTCGACTCGGAATCGTGTCTCGCGACAACGAACTGCCGATAAATCGAGTCGTCGATCGTAGGTACTCGCGTTACGGATCGCGATCTCGATCGGCCGGCTAAATCGAGAAAGAAGGAATTTGCGAACCTCGAGAGGTTTCGGAATTGCTTCGAACGGAAGGACAGACACACACGGCAGTCACGTCGAAGGAGTAAAATATCGAAGAGACCGGTCCGCCTCGTCGCAACGTTTTACCGTTTTGATCTTACCGGTTCACGGGTTCCGGCCTCGATCGAGGCAATCTTGCTCCTACGGAGTCGAGACGAATCGAATCGAACCGAACCGAACCGATTCATCTTCCGGAGTACACGGTGCTTGGCGTAGTCGCGCGTATCGCGAATGCGACTCGCTCGAACGAGCTCGTCGCGGTCCGTTCGCTCGCCTCGGTTGCGTTCGAAATTCGCGTCGATTCGTCGATCCGCGCTTGTCGACGATACTCACCGTACGGTCGCCTAGATTCGTCGCTTCCGCTTTCCTAGAAACAACGACGCTGAACGTCGTGTGTCCGAACGAGACGCGAATCGCTATCTTCGAACATCGTAGGAACTCGCAACGACCGTTCGCGTCGTTTCGCGTTTACGCGAGTAACTTTCACTTCTCGATAGCCGTTATTCGCCGTTCGCGCCCGCCAAGAATGTTTTGCGAACGGGTTAGTCGTCGCGATTTAACAGCGTTGTACCGACGAGATTCCGTGACAAACGCAACGTCCTGGCGAGACGAGCGACAAAGAAACGAACTCGAGATTCCGAACGAAAACTGAGGCGCGTAACGTTCGATTCGATGTAAGAGGTAGGCGTTCGGCGATCGAGAACGGATAGGAAAACGTTCCTGCCGTTTACCTTTGTTTTTCTCGCCTCCAAGATCAGAGAGACCGTTCGAGACGCTCGTTTCTCTTGACCACCTTCGAAACGATTCACGATCTTCGACGATCCAAGCGCGCGGCGAAGATTGCGATCGAGAAAGTTTTCGTCTCGCGAAGAGAAACGAGATTACGAAACATCCATAGCCGCGAACGGACTTACGCGCACGCGTGCACGGAACGCGCAGGAAGTTTTGCAACGGATGTTTCGTCTCGCGACCTGGATCTTCGACGACGGTTTCGCTATGCATCGGCCGATCGACGAGCTGTCGCGAACAGCGACGATAACGAGAAGAGAAGGTTCGCTCGAACGAGGCCGGTAATTCGAGGTCGACGCCGACGCTGCGCGACGCGCGATGAGGTATGCAGAAGGGTGAAAAGGCAAAACGCGTGCCATCCAGATAACGAAGCGCATCCCGGGAATAGAAAACTACGATCGCGACCGTGGACGGGAAAAACGATGGTCAAAGAGGCTGTTCGACAGAGGATCATTGCTCGAACCTTACCACCAAACTTTCGCACTTAGCTTTTTCCTTTTTCCGCTCGACTCCGTCGCGTTCTATTCTTCCTATCCGCTATTCACGTTACTGCCACGACTCGCCCTCGAGAACGCGAGCGCTGTCTTCTACGCGCTCCTTCTCTTCTCTTCCGTTCAGTTTTGTTCTCCTTTTCCTCGATCGGACGGCAAAACTCGCTCCGTAGCTTTCCTTCCGCATACCGAAATTCCTGGGAAACAGCGCTAGATGACTTTGGACAGTACGCCGTGGCGTGGCGCGACGGCTACTCGAAAACGTTCGATCTTACGATCCGTTATCGGCATTTTGCATTTTGCATCGGTCATACCCTCGGTTCGCTCGCGGCGTTCTGATCGGTTTCAGTCGATCGGCAAATCGAGTTACCGCTCGACGGATGGAATTTCTTCGATAAACTATTCCGATTCGCCGCGTAATCTCGTGGAGGCACGGCGCATGCGCACAGGTGCGAATGGAATGGGTGCGCCACGGTGCACTTGCGCGGCTCTGCCTGACCCAGATGCCTCGCGAATAAAACTTATCCGTGCTCGTTCTTGACATCCTGCTGTTCCCTCTTCTCTATCTCTGTCTCCCACCTTTCCTCTCTTCACCTGTTCGCTTTTCTTTTCTTCTTCGTCGCTTTTTCTTCTCGCCTTTGCTCCCGAATTCGAGGTAATACCCCCGATACAGCGTTCGACGCGAAAAAGGAATAGACGAGCGTCGTCGTTTGCGCAGCTACGAATCCGCTTTTAGATCGTCGTGGCAAAACGACAAATGGTAAAGAAAATTTCGCGAACGAACACGGAGTAAGAGAAGAAGCGTCACGTCGAGGGACGACCGGTCGACGATCGTTGCACCGAGTTCCGAGTGGTTCGCGCGCGATTTCCGCGTTCTCGCACGATCGCTTCCTTTCCGCGTCGTTGGGTCCTCACCGTTCGCGAGACGTCTCTCAACGTAGTTACGATTTCTCCGTTACTCGCGTTTCGATTACTTTTCCCACGCGACATCGTAGTAGCTTCTTCTTTTTTCTTCGCTAAGAGAAATCGAGACGAAGGTCCGGTATGGAAAATCGATCCGAGCGACTCTTCCGTGAAAAGAAACTAACGATCCTCGACCGATCGTTAGCTACGATCGAAAAAAACTCGATAAATCGTCCGTGGGAATTCGAGCGGACGAAAATCTCCTCCTCGATCGGTTCGTTGGAGGGAAGAACGTCGGAGAAGAAAGTTTCCGTATCGTGGGTATCCGAGGGCGTTGGCACGCGAAATTAGGATCGGTAGACGAATCGATCGTTGACCGAGTTGACGAGTTCTCGCCGTTCGGTTCCGACGCGTTTTCTCGATAGCGAGCTCTCGAGCCGCTTTCTATGCCAGCGAACGGAGCGCGTTTCCGTGTCTTCGACTTATTTGCCGACTTTCAGATTCCTCACGGATTCCGTTTGCGTTCTCGTTAAACGAATTTCGGTCATCGAACGCGCGCGCGCTCGACTTCGAAAGCGAAAAGAGAAGGAACAGCAGGTAGAGCGGCCGGGGAAAGAGGGAGAAGGAGACAGTCGTCGTCGCGGCTTCTCCGCTCTCACCGGATGTGCCGGATCGAACTCGCGTTCCCAGCCGTCGTGTCGCGTCGCGACGCGTTCGGCCCAGGAGACGAAGACTTTCTTTTTCGCGCGTGGACCGCGACCTCGATCCCGTTCGATCATCGTCAAACTTTTTTCCTCCGCTCTCCTTCTCGCGAGACACCTGTTCCGTCGCCTCCGAGGCGATTCGCGCCTCGAGTTCGCGCCATTTCCGATCATCGAAGTTACGCGATCGTGTCGTTTCGTTAACGCGAACGAGGAGACGAGAAACAAAGGGTCGTACGCGCGTCTTTCGACGACTTTCTCTTCGATTTTACGCGGCTCGGCGCGTTTGGAAGAACGTTGACGCGGAACGGTACACGTTTCGTTCCCTCCGGCGGATCGGCGGCTCTCGAGGAATCGAGCCTGTCTCGGTCTCGACGCGACCGGTCGATCAGTTTCGCGAGCGGCGTTGACGCGCTCGATTCGAAACCGTTAGAACATCTGCCTGTTAGCGCTTCGCGACGATCGCTCGAGTTTCTTTCGTCCTGGCAAAGTTTCTCGTCGAAAAGTCTCGGTAGAATCATCCATATTTCCCGTCGTTTGCTTCGCCTGCATATTTAACGGTCGTAAAAGAGAGTTGAACGCGTGGTTTTGTCGATGCGACAGATGCGAGATGGAGGACGAGCCGGGTTTCTCGTAGCGGAAAGGCGAAGATGGGCAACAACGGAAGCAGCTCTCGGGATCAACAAGCCGCGTCCGTGTGCTCGAACGGACTGGCAGCGGCGTCGGAAGCGAATCGAGGCTGGTCGCAATCGTTCCCGCGAGAGCTCGCGCGGCATCACCACGGATCGCAAGTTACGCCAGTGGTGGCGGCTCGCAAAGTCCTACCTGAGCCACCGAATCAGAGATTACGCGCGACCGACAATGGATCGATCATACACAACGGCGGGACGATAAGCGGACGCAGGGCGCCAACTTTCTCCTCGTCCCGTGACTTGGCCAAGGTAAACGTCGATCTTCGGTTCAGCCGATTGCGAGGTTCAAATTTCGACGAATAGGTCCGATCGTGACGTGTTTCAGAGAAACGAGCCGTTCCGAGAGAGAAGCGTCTCCGCGTGCCAGGCAGCCGAGGCTCGGTCGCGCAGGATCGACCGACACTGCTGTCGCTATCGCGCGGAAGCGGCCGCGACCTCGAACCTGAAGAGGTTCGACAGCGAACCCGATCTTCGGTACTCTCCGGATGCTTGTCCGTCGACCCAAGACCGCCCGAATACCGGAAGATCGAGCGACCGGGAGGACGGAGGTCGGTCGTCGAACGGTCAACGGTCCAGAGATGCCAAGGAACGCCTCGAGGGTAGATACAAGGCTAGGAAAAAGTATAAAGCACCGGCTCCCCCGAACGCGACCGATCTCGCGGACGAGTCGCCCTCGATGCTCGGCGGCGGTGGAGGCGACGAAGGAGAGTCTCGGTGCCGGTTCGAACAGCAGTTGCAACCACCCCCGAGGAGATGTCGGCTGTTCAAGACACGAGCGGAGACGAAAAAGGCGCAGGTCACTTGGCAATTGGCGTCCAGTGGTCGTTCGTTCGATCGTGCACACGAGCCGCCGACGCGTACGATCGAACG